TTCGTGCGTGGTTTTGCGTCAAATGATCAAGGATGCTCCTCGATGGTCCTCGCCGGATGGAAAATGCACACGTCCGAGCGATGCCGAGGCGAAGCGCCAAGGAGGGCGGCAGCGGCCGAACGTGGAGCAGCGGTCGCTCCGCAGGGAGCCGCTGCGCCGCCAGGGGCAGCTGGGCCTGTCACGCCCGACATCGTCGGGGGACCCCTGGTGGCAGCGAACCCCAGGGTGGGGCTCTTCCTGCGTCCTCGGGAGCAGGGCTTGCGTCATCAAGAGGGGCCGCACCCACGTCGCCGCTCAGCGTCAGCCGCTGGAGCTCCGTCGCCGGCGTCCTCGTGTGCTCCGCCTCCGTCCGCTGGCCAACGTAGGAAAGCCGGCAGGTGGTGAAGCAAGGTTCTCAGGCCTGGCACTCCGAGCACCATGCTCAGCGCCAACCTGGCGAGGCGGTGACGGCCCGCCGCGGCCATCTGGGACAACGCCGCCGCCAAGGCGCTCATAAACATCGACATCGGGCCTGGTGAAAGGGGGGATAGCAAAGGGGGGGTTGAGAACCGGCTCACGTAGCTGATTTCCCCGGCGCCTCCCGACGCCGGGAGGCGCCCACGCATCGAGGAATGGGCCCGGCGGCGGGCCCGAAACCAGCTGCATGCAGCAGATTTCGCCCCCCCTTCCCCCCCTGTCCCTATCCCTCCCCTTTCGCTCGGCCCGAGGGCAGTCCGACGCCGCCCCCGAGCGCCCGCCACCGACATCCCTGTGCAGCTGGCGGATGCGGCCTGGCTGGAAAGGGGGGGCGTCGCCATGGCCACGGCGGGCGACGCCGCCGCGCCCTCGACCGTCATCCCGGGGCGCGCGATGGGAGGACTGCGCGGGCCCGTCCGCGGACCCGCGCGGGTGGAGTCTGCAGGTCGCCGGCGGATGGCACTTCTGAAGTTGCTTCAGTGGACCACTGCGCCGCTGAGCTACAAGACTACGGGGTTGCAAGACATCCCGCCCCTGGGCCCCTTTGCTGACCTACTGAAAATCAGCGCTCGTAAACTCTCTCACCCATATATGTCAGAGGGGGCCGAACGGTCATTCATTGTCCCTGGGTGCGTGGCTGAAGTGGAATTCAGCGGTGCGGATTCGTGTTGTTGTTGTTGTTAATGTTGTTTGTTGTTGTTTGTTGTCGTCGTCCAGCCCCGCGACCCACCCGCGACCCACCCGCGACCAAACCCGCGACCCACCCCGCGACCCACCCGCGACCCACCCGCGACCCACCCGCGACCCACCCCGCGACCCACTCCGCGACCCACCCCGCGACCCACCCCGCGACCCACCCGCGACCCACCCCGCGACCCGCCCACGGCCCACCCCGCGACCCACCCGCGACCCACCCGCGACCCACCCGCGACCCACCCGCGACCCACCCGCGACCTACCCCGCGACCCACCCGCGACCCACCTTCGACCCAAACCACGTTCAAGGTACAAACCACAATTTTCGGCGCCTGCGGCGGGCTTTTTTTGCATTCCTTCCAGGTGGAGAGCCCGCGACCCAACCCGTGACCAACTTGCGACCAAACCGCGACCCAAACCACGTTCAGGGTACAAACCACATTTTTCGACGCCTGCGGCGGGCATCTTTTGCAGTCGCTTCAAATGGAAATACCGCGGCCCACCCGCGACCACGTTTAGGGTACAAACCATTTTTTTCGGCGCCTGCGGCGGGTTTTTTTTTGCATTCGCTCCCGGTGGAGAACCCGCGGCCCCCCCGCGACCCAAACCACGCTCAGTGTACAAACATGTTTTTTGGCGCCTGCGGCGGGGTGCTTTTGCATGCCTTCCAAATGGAGGTAGAGAGCCCGCGACCCACCCGCGACCCAAACCACGTTCACTGAACAAACCAATGCCGCACAACCGCGGCGGCAGATTTTTGCATGCCGTCTGAGCCCGCAAGCGGATTCCGGAAAATTGCGGAAACATTGGCACTCCGCTCAACAAATCTGACCACGACGCGCCCAAGACGGCCACCAGGGCTCCAAGACGGCCCAAGAGCGTTCCAACACCGCCCTAGAGCGTTCCAAGATGCCCTAAGATGGCTTCCAGACGGTCCAAGAGAGCTCCGAGACGGCCCAGGAGGCCCTCAAGAGGCCTCCAAGACGCCTCAGGAGGCTTCGAAAAGGCCTCACAAGAGCGCCAAAGAGGCACAAATCTATGATTTTTGAATAGTTGTTGAAGGTTTTTGGAGTTCTCGCCTTTTCCGTTTCCCGACGCTCCGAGACGGCCCAAGAGGCCCCCGAGATCGCCCCAAGACGGCCCAAGAGGCCCCCAAGATCGCCTCAAGACGGCCCAAGAGGCCCCCAAGACGGCCCCAAGAAGGCACCAAAAGGCCCCAAGGCGGCCCCAAGACGGCCCCAAGAGGCTTCGCGGCGGCCCAAGAGGCCGTCAATATGGCTCCTAGAGGGGGCCTAGACGGGGTACACGAACGGACTTTTCGGGCCCTCGGCCCCAAATGCCCCCCCGGAGGGTCCAGGAGCCCCCCAGGAACCTCCAAGAGGCCCCCAAGAGGCCCCAAAAAGGCCCCCAAGATGCCCCCCAAACGGCCCCCAAAAACGGCCCCCAAGAGGCTTCAGAATTGCTTCTAAGAGGCCTACGAGAGACCGACCACGACATCCCAAGGCTCCATTGCGAACGATGACGTGGGCAGCTTCGAACGCCAGAGCTCCCAGTACGAACGCTGGCGTCCAGAGCTTTGACGACAAACACTGCTATGAGCAAAAACGGCGCTTCCCGTTCTTGTGCGGTCAGGTTTTTGCATGCCGTCTGAGCCCGCAAGGATCTCTTCAAGCCCCGCGCATCCACACCAGCCCGTCCAGCAAGTTTGCCCTGGCGAGTTGCCTTGATCAGAGAAGTCGGGGAGCATAAAGTGGGAAAAAAGATTGCGTTACTGTTATCTTGGGGAAGGTGGGGGAGGCAGAAGGAGTAAACAGGGGACGAGGAGGACGCGGAAGAAGAGAGGATGTAAGGATAATGTGGAAAAAGAGGAGGAGGAGGAGCAGGAGGACGAGGAGGGGGGAGGGGGAGGAGGAGGACGAGGATGGGGAGGAGGGGGTGGATCATGATGATGATGGACGACAATGGGAGGACGATGATGGAGGCCGATGAGGTGGAGGACAACAATGGGAGGACGATGATGAAAGGACGAGGGGGGGAGAGGGAGGACGAGGAAGAAGAGGAGAAGGACGAGGTGGAGGAGGAGGATGACGATGACGATGACGATGAGGACGAGGAAGAGGAGGAGGAGGAGGACGAAAACGCCATCGACAGGGAAGGTGGGGGCCACGAGGTCCGCCGGCTCGACGTCGCCCGCGCCCGCCCCCTCACTCTTATCCGCAATTGCGGGGTGCTACGTATGTATGTAGATATATATGTATATGTATATATATATATATATGTGTATATATACATGTATACAAACATGTCTACACATGCATTGTGTATGTATGCGTGTACATGCATGCATATGTATGTGTATGTAGATGTACGTGTATACATACAGAGATATACATTGTTGCATTTGTTGTTGTAGATATGTAGTTGTTGGTTGTATGTATGATGTTATTGTGTGTTGTGTTTGTACGTCTGTGTATACATATATGTTTTCGTGTGTTTGTTCTCTCTCTCTCTCTCTCTCATTCCCGGACAAGACATTATCCTCCACAGCGCGTCGAGCATTGAAATGCCCTCAGGTCCCTCACAACACTCTGTATAGCCTAACGGATCTACGGCCGGAGTTCTGGGCGCTCTCGGTCGCTCTTGGGATGAAGGGCGTGGTCCCACGTATTGTCGCGTGCGCTCTCTGGATCGGGGCCCAGAAGGCTCCAGAACGGGCCACGAAGGCCCTAACAGGCCCCAGGGACGTCGCAAGAGGTCCCCGACCCGCCTAAAGATCGCCCAAAGACGCCCAAAATGGCCTCAAGGCGGCCCAGGAGGCCCCAAGGGCGCCCCACCAGGGCTCCAAAAGGACCCCCAAGGGGGCCCCCAAAGCCCCAAATTTGCTGATTTCCATGAGGTTTGAATGATTTCATCGTTCTCGCATTTTGCCGCCTCGTGGTGCCGACGTATTCCTCGAACTCGTCCACTCCGTCCTCATCACCGTTGTCGTCCCCGCCGCCGACGTCCCCGTCCTCGCCGTCATCAGTCGTCCCCGCCGCCGTGGCCGCCGGGCTGCTATCCCCGTCACCGTTGCCAAAACTCGATCGTCGTGTTCGTCGCCGTGGTCGTAGCCATCGTCGCCCCCCCAAATCGGGGATCTACTGACCCGGATCAATCACAACCCGGGTCAGTCGGGCCTTCCAGGATACTGCGAGACCCCGTGGGATCCTGCGCCCCGGCCTGGGCCAGTGCGCCCCTGGCCTTGCAGGATCCTGCAGAATCTGGCGCTCTGGCTGACCCCAGTTCGCGTCGACCCCCGTCTCCTGAGCCCCCACCGAACTCGTCGCCGCACGCCGCCGTGGCCAGCGCTGCCGTGGCCGCCGGGCTGCTATTCTCGTCACCGTTGCCAACTCTCGATCGTCGTGTCCGTCGTTGCGGCCGTAGCCGTCGCCGCCGCCGCTGCCCCCTCCAAGCCGGGGACCTACTGAGCCCCGACCAACCCTGAGTTCCGACGTTGCAGAAGAAGTGCAACATCGCAAAAGATCACGACCAGACCCCCATTCCCATCTTTCTGCATAATTTTTCTGGCTATGGATCGATCTGCGAGGGTCCCGGGGCCCGAAATGGCGCGAAAACGCCCGGCTCTGGCCATCGCTCGGACGTCCATTCCCTGTGTTTTTTCAGTTTCGTGCGTAGTTTTTTTCGCAGGATGATCCAGGATGCTCCTTAATAACCCCCGCCGAGAAAAGTGCACACGTCCGAGCGATACCAAAGGCTTGAAAATAATGGATCGCAAGGATCTCAGGGAAGCTCGCCGCCGCACGCCGCCGCCGCCGAGTGCCGACGCAGGCTGGAGGGCCGCTGGGGAGCCCGCAGGAGCAGGGCGCCCAGCAGGCCTCGCCTGCGGGCAGGGGGGGCCGAGCGAGGCGGGCCTTCCCCCCCTCTTTGGCGGCGAGCGAGGGGGGGAGATGAGCAGGACAAAGACCTTCTCAGAAGGCGGCGGGACTTCTCAGAGACTCGCGCCCTCTGTGAAGTTTTTGTCCGTCTTCGGAAGAAACTTCGGAAGGCTTCTCAAAGGCTGGGGGACTTCCGAGACTTCCGAGACTTCCCCTCCTCCGCTCGCAAGGTCGCTCCCGCTCGCCTCGCGGCGCCGGCTCCGCCGCCTTTTCCGCCTCGTCCTGCCCCCCCCCCCCCTCCTCCTCCTCCTCCTCCTCCTCCTCCTCCTCCTCCTCCTCCTCCTCCTCCTCCTCCTCCTCCTCCTCCTCCTCCTCCTCCTCCTCCTCCTCCTCCTCCTCCTCCTCCTCCTCCTCCTCCTCCTCCTCCTCCTCCTCCTCCTCCTCCTCCTCCTCCTCCTCCTCCTCCTCCTCCTCCTCCTCCTCTCTCCTCCTCCTCCTCCTCCTCCTCCTCCTCCTCCTCCTCCTCCTCCTCCTCCTCCCCCTCGCTCGCCGCCGAACCCCCCCTCCGCCGGCCGCGCGGCCCGCCGCGCGCACGCCGGCCGTCGCAAGGCTTGGCATCGCTCGGGGGGCCCTTCCCCGTGCACGTTTCGGTTTCCGTGCGCTTTTGTGAAGGGGCCCCAGGACACACAAATAAATACACACAACTAAACATATTCCCCATATTTTCATATTTTTCCTGGGTTTCTGTCTTCCCCCCAACTTCCCATATTTTCCTATATGTTCGGAGGAATCGAGGATTAATTGTGTCTGTGTGTTTTTTCCTCTCCTGATGTTGGGCCTTGCTCGAGGAGCACGGGGCGCACAAGAAGATCTGCTGGCACCACATGTCCTCCCTGGAGGCGTGCGTCCGGCCCGAGCCCTTCACTGCATACCCGTCCTGCAGAGGATCGTTTCTGGAGCGGTGTGGCCAGAAAGCGCCCGCCGGGACGTGTGTACTGTAAGCTTTCTCGGTGCGAGCGTCGCCCCTGGGGGGGCGACGCCCAAACAGTATTAGTATGTTGGGGTGACGCCTACACTTAAGTCGGGCGTGTCCCCCTACAGGCCGATTTTCGACGACACATAAAACATACCCCCAATATACCCCCAAAAATGTCAAACATACCAAAAAATAATCACCATACTGTGTGTTGGACTATGTTTTGACTACTTTTGGTGTTTTTTTTGTCGAAAATCCCCCTGTAGGGGGACAGGCCCGACTTAAGCCTACACAAGATGGCCCGAAAAGTAAGAAAACGAAAGCATCGGGCACTCGACCTCCTTGCCATCGCTCGGGCCTCCACTCCCCCGTCATTTGTTCGGATTCGTGCGCTTGTGCTTCGCTCGAGGATCCAGGATGCGCCTCGATGGTCCCCGCCGAAAAAAAAACACGCACGCCCGAGCGGTGCCGAGAGGGGAGCTCGGGGTTCGGGTCCGACGCCAGAAAGCTAAGAAAGGGGCCCGAAACGCAAGACCGCGAAGGCATCGGGCACCCGACCTCAGCCGTCGATCCTCGAACGTCGACGATGGCGACGGCTGAGACGATGTGACTGCCTGCCAGGCGGAAGCGCCTCTGGACGAGGACGAACTCTGCACAGGCCAGGGGGGGTCTCCCCAGGGTCGGGTGGGTACCAGGGGGGTGGAGCGTCGCTGGCTCCAAGGTGCCCCTGGGACTTCCGAGGAGGCCCCCAAGGCCTGAGAAGAGACAGGGGGCTGCCAATCGGTTGCGCGCACGCCAGGAATTGGGCCAGGAAGGGAGGGTCAGCGCATCATGGCTTGAGGCGTGTGCGCGGACGGGGGGACCAAGGAACGTGATGAAAAAAGGGGCAGCCACGAAATCTGTGAGATGGCATGGCCCCAGCCATAATATCCACACGCTCCAAGTCCACACCCCCCTCATTGTGGGGGAAACATAATCGGGACTCGCTCAGGGGAAATCGGAGATAGATCGCCGAAAGATAAACAATAGGTTCAAGATAACGATGAAAGCAGACGTCTCCGGCCATGTTGGGGCACCCGATCTCCGATCGGCAAGGCATGGAACGGACGATTGGCGCTCGATGCCCCTACCCCGAGCCAATCCCACCCTGTCATTGCCCCTGGGGGCTTTTGGCGGAGGTTCGTCAGGAGGGCATGCGGGGGATCTGCTTCATGAGATGCACAGCCTGCTATCATTAAGTCGGGCCTGCCCTCCTACAGTTGGATTGTGGACGAAAAGTGAAGAATATTCAAACAATACCCCAAAATGGCCAAACATACGCAACAAAAACGTCCCAAGAGTTTTTTTTATACAAATCACTATCTTTGAATTTGCCTCCTGTAGAGGGAAGGGCCCGATTTAATGTCATCACTGGAAGGCCGCCCCCCTCGCCGCGACATACCATGCGCTCCGCCTGGGCCTCCAAAGACCACGCGTTTTGTCAAGGCTGCTAAAGGTGCGCCTGGCCCAGGGTGTCCCCGGTTGTCCACTCCACTCCGGAGCCCTTGGTGCCCTTTGGGCATTGCGGGGGGTTGCCCAGGACGTCGTGGGGGCCTCCTCGGAAATCATGAGGGCACCCTGCGTCAGGGGCACCTCTGGCAAAATCGATCTTTCAGTTTGGGTGATCCTGGGCTAAATTTGCAAAGGTGGTCAGCGAATTCCGCATTTACGCCACCACCGCCGCGAACAAATCACTGAGGTGAACATGAGCACTTTCGGCGTCCCCACGGCCATTCTCCTGCCCACGCACGCCAGCAGGACGACCCCCGCGGGGAGAAACCACGCCCTGGGGAAGGGGGGTGCACTTCGGGGACTACGTTGCGCATGTGCTCCTCCCCTCCTTCGCCTTCACCACCCGCCCCCTCCCCGCCCATCGATATCTGGTCAGGGAAACTGAAAAATTGTCACCTTCCCAGCTTGACAGTCTGGTTCCATCGTTGACGGAAGTACGACCCAACCAATGCGCACATCAACGTCCTTCTTGTTGGCGCCAAAGTCCATACAGACTGCGGCGCACCACGTACGCAGCGCCTCGAAGCATGTTCAACGCCTTCACCTTTCTACTCGTTCGCTTGAAGCTACGCTTATTCAAGCAGCAGCGCCACGTCCTCGGCAGCTTCGCCTCACCACAACCTACGCATTTGCGGTGCATCGGTTGGCCTGGCCCGCATCTTTGTTTGCTGCCCTCATCATCCCACTCTCACAAAAGCGTACATCCCCCCTTACGCAACACGAATGGGTTTGCAACAATTGTTTGCCACTGCCGCTTGGGCCGCAAGAGCCAGGCTTGGCCGGCCATCGTTGGGCAACTCTGTTCGTTCTCCCCCCTGCCCTCATCTCTTGCCCGTCCGATTCACCGCGAGGGGCCTCGCAGTCTACAAGGGGCAACGAGAAGGGCACTCGTCAATCAAGTATGGCGCCAATGTGGGGTTGAGCCGCCCCGCGGCCCGTCGGGCTGCTCGCTCAGGAGCGGAAGTGCAGGGCGGGAGGGGGGCGAAGCGCGCAACCAGCTCGAAGCCAGGTGGCCGCAGGACGGAGGAGGACAAAGAGGGAATCAAAGGGCAGGCCGCAACGAGGCATCCGAATGTTAAGGAACAAGCCCCAACGGAAACAGGTTTCCCGCGAGGGGCCCCGCAGCTAACAGGGGAAGGCGAGAGGAACAGGTTTCCACCGAGTATGGCGCCAAGTGGGGTTCAGCCGCGCCGCGGCCCGCCGCCCGCCCAAAAAAAGCGCCGGGCCCGCGCGCGCCCGGCAAACAGTGGGCAGAGATACTCAGGGATCTGGGCTGGGAGCTTGCGCCCCCCCAAAGAAAATGCGACGCGTTCGGAACTGACCTCAGCGGTTGCGAGCCCGAGGGCGACGCCAAGATGCCACGCCAAAACGGAACCAGGAACCCAGACCACGCGCGAGCAGCTTGCGGGACCTGAATAGGGCGCACCAGAGACGAAGAGCTTGGGACACCAACATTATTCGCATTGCAAGCGGGGGTCACTCCCCATCGCACCTTAACGGTCCTTGGTAATTCTCGGATATGCCGTGTTCGATCCTCCTCTTTGAGAACCACCGCGACACCGCTGCGCCCGCGCAGAAGGGTCGGGCGGGCGGGCAAGCGCGGGCGGTCAAACGAGAGACGAATCGCGACCAACTGCGGCGAGGGAGCGCGCGCTGGCACGCAGAATGGGGGTTCGCCTCAGCCAGCGGTGCAGCGTAGAGATGAGCAACAAGAGTAGTTCGCAATCAACTGGCACCGACGCACCGTCGCGACTTCCCCCCACGCCAAAGAGTCGCCCAGGGCGCCCGCAAGAAGTCGCGTCGAGGCTGGGCCCGCGCTCGCGCTGGGCACAACCGTCGACTGGCGCGGGCCCAGGCCAGGCGGCGGGGGGAGCGCGAGTCGGCATCGCGGAACCGAGCACCCTCGCGGAAGCCTCCGATGCATGCTCGGCGGAACGACGCCCAAGCGCGCTCCATGGAGACCGAAGATGCCTCGTCTGCTTCCCCCGCGGCCCAGGCGATCCCTGCACCGCTGCCGCGGCGATCGGCGCTTCCTGCGCGCCGACGCCCGCCGCTCTTCGGCGCGCCGACGAGGTGTTCCCGGCACCCGCCGCGAGCGGGCATCCGACCTCGCGCGCGCCCCCCGCCGATCGCCGCCTTCGCTGTCGGATGCTGCGGGCGGGCCCTGCACGTGCGACAGATAGCGGATTGCTTTTGCCGTCGTCGGTGCCTCCGCGCCGCGCGCGTTGCGCGAGATAGGCGGCGCCGCGCCGCGGCGCGCCGCGCCTGCCTCGCCGTCGAAAGCAACGCGAGAACTTCTGGAAGTGCCCGTTCCGCGCCGGGCTGGCGCTTCGCTCGCAAGCCCGGCGCTGGCGCCCGGTGTTCGGCTGCCTTCTCGATCCATGTTGCCGCCGCCTGAGCCCCCGCGGGCCAGCGCGCGGTGGCCCGGTGGCCTGGCCTTGCATGCCCCGGCGGACTGGGCGGAGTCAAGTGCGCATCCTGAGAGAGCGATTCCGCCGCATCGCCACCGCGCGGCCGCTTCGCACGCGAGCCAGCTTGCGCGCGTGCGCAATGAGCGCCTCGGTGACAAACTCCGACCACTCAGGGAGGCGCAGGGGGGCGCCCCCCGCCTCTCCGAGCCTCCCCCGCGGTGAACACGGACAAATCGGGAGGGGTCGCCGCGCCTTCGGCCGCGATCCTCGATGCCAGACATTACGAAGAGTCCGCGCGCACCAAATGCGAAACGCGCACGGGCGCCCACCGCGATGCGTGTGACAGGCGCGCAAGCATGCCGCTCGCGGACCACCTCTCGCGGCGCGCCTGGGTCGCCGCGCGCCTGTCGAGCGGGCGCTCGCGCCCCCTGCTCACCCCCGGCGCAACTTGCCACGCGCGCCCGCGCGAGTGCCGAGGTGCCGCGCGGGGGCCACGGCCGCCGCGGCCACGCCGCCCGAGCGAAACCCTCGCGGCGCATCGCCGCAATTGCGGCCGCTTTCGCCGCAGGCCGCGCGGGAGCGTCCGCCGCATTGAGCGCGCATGGCACATGCCGCGCGCCCAGAAGGCACCGCGCGGTAGCTGCCGCGAACCAGATATCGGCCACGAGCGCGCCATCATCCGCATGGCGCCAGGTGCCGCGCAGGAGCGCCCCGAGCGCGGCCCAGCGCGGCCGGCAGAGCAGCGCGCGGGCAGCCGGGCGGCCCGCGCCCAGATGCGCCTTCGAAACAACAGTAATACAATTTCCGCGTCGCGCAACGCCGCGAGCAAATCGTGCAAGGCGCACGCTGCCGCGACGAGCTCCCGCGTCGCGACCCTTCACGCACGGAGGGCCGCGCGCAAGACCTCGCGCGGCCGGCGGCTGGGGGCGCCCCCGACGGCGCCCTACGGCGCCTCGCGCGCCGCCTGATCGACGAAGGCGCATCGCCCGCCGCGCGAAATGCGCACAGCCGGGCCCGATAATGAGCCGCGCAAGCCTGCAGTGGCGGCGCGGGCTGGGCGAGGCTGGCGCCGTGCCTGCCAGGCGTTCGCCGCCTGAACCGCCCGTCGCGTCGGAATAGACGAGGTAGCGGGGCCGGCCAAGGTCCGCCCGCAGGGGCGCCGCCAGTTCTGGCGCTGCCCGGAGGAAACGCAGCCGCCGCTCGACTGCCCCGCGGAGACGCGACTTGAACCTCCACCCCCGCCGCTGCGCATGCTAGAACAGCGGGGTGAAGTGTGCCCGGGCACCTGCAGCCGCGCCCGCGCGCGCGTTGTTTGCGCGCGGGGGTCAGAGCGTGACTTTGCCGAACGCCGCGGTGGAACCCCGCCCCCATCTGCAAGCAAAATTCGACGCTGCCGCCGTCGACATCCCCCCTGCCGCCAGCAGCCCCTCGATCTCTTGGATCCATTCATGGCGCCTGTCGTCGTCGATCGCGAGGTCGAGCGAGAACTACTTGCCTCATCCGCGCACTTCCCCAACGACGTCGAGCTCACTCGCACCCGGCTCGGCAACGGCGCGCATGCCGGCGCCCAAGTGCCAACCCAAAAGGTCTTCGACGACCGCTCTCAAGACCTCGGCGGCGTCGCGGGGGCCGCCCCCGCCTGGCCCCCTATCGGCGTCGGCCCAGAACGTATCGTCAACGAACCAGCCCGAAGCGAGCCATACTGACTTTGCAAATGTCGCCCGCCGCGCGCGGGGCGTTCGCCGCGTCGCCGCGGCGCCCGAGCCTCGCGCCTGAAACGCCGCGCCAGCAATGCATCGAGGGAATCCCCCGCGCCGCCCCCGCTAGCCCGTGTCTCGGGATCTTGGTTTCGCAGCCCGGGATCAGACTTTGCGGTTGTTCTGGCACGAATGGAGCAAGACCCCCCACTGCCAGGCGTGCCGTGAGAGGGCGCGCGGACACGCGCACTCAGCATAATGTAAACGGAAAAGGCACCAGTGGGAAAGCAGCAAGCAACATGCAACGCAGTGCGCCGAAGCCCATGCTCCACCAAGAGCACCCCAGGTGTCGGAAACGTCCGAGGGGGCGGCCGAAAGACGTCCTATAGGTTTAGGCTAAAAAGGGCCGCCTGCGGCGGCGAACCCGGGACAAGGAAACAATGGCAGCAGCGGGGTTACAGGACAGAGTAGAGGTAGCCATAGCGGCGGCTCGAAACGGCAGACAGAAATTCAAGCTGAAGAATTGGACCAAGAGCGCACTGAACGGGAAAGCGCACAGCACGGAGAGGAACGATAGGCTGACCGAACCCAGGATCTGCCGCGACGGCAGCAACCTGCCCGATTGCAGGATTAGCTGAAGAGCGATACCTTCGTGAAGAACCAGAGCCCCACGCGTGCGAGTTCCATGACTCACGCGAGGGACTGTCGCGGCCCTGTTATGCAAACGTCGATCTAAATGACGGCTTGCCCAGACCATTAGCGGAGGCAGGCATGAAACGTGAAATGGGCCATCTTGACAATCTCGGCGCGCACCAGTGGCGCAGAGAAGAGGAAGCCACGTCGCAACCGATAAACACAGGGTGGGTTCACAAACAACGGGGAGAAACTGAAGTCCGATCGCGCGCCGTGGCAACAGACGTTAGGTGGGCAGCGGCCCGGGGCGACGCGTTCACGGCAAATCCCGCTCCAACAAGTTTGAACATTATTTTAGCTATAGCGGTGAGAAGGAATTTAGACAATCAGAATGGCAGATTTTAGTATAGCTTTCATGCGCGCGGACATTAATGAAGGAGAAATGTTTCGTAGACCCCGGGAACCATGGAAATCCCCATGCTCAAAAAAGATTTGGACGATGCAGAAAGCAACGAACGGGCTCCGGAAAGCACCGCAAAATTTCCAATATTTCTGGCTGAGGTTCTCGTGAAACGTCTGGGTTTTAAAAAATGCCAGAGTGGCCCCTAGCTGTTTTGGAGCGAGGAGACATACGTGTATCCAAGCGTGCATGTTGAAGACCCCATAAGTGTAGTTCCAGATGATGCAGTCAGGGAATTTTCAATGAATTCGAAAGGCATGTTCTGCTCCGTAGGGGTGAACGCTTCAATATCAAGTGCCGTGAAGTATTTGGGTAAGTGCTACATGTTGGAGACGAGCTGAATTGCTATGAGCCCAGCGCCAGGGTATGTCGATGAAACTTTGGATGTTCGGCAGTTTCGGCTCCTCAGACCCCAATGCCAGAGCAAGGGTCGGTCGGGGAAGAATTTGAAGAACAGACAGGGAAAGATCATCGGAAAGCCGTTGTGTAGTGGGCAAGATGCAATACCTCTCCACGGAGAGGCCAGCCATCCAATTCACGACGAAAGAACTCGCGAGAAAGCTAGCGGCCCCCCACGAAGGAGGACATGAGAAAACTCAAACACCTCGTGCGGTATACGCAGGGAACCAGAAGGGAATGCCTGCATTAAAAAACGGCGAACTTTGAAATGCGAAATTGTAGTGTATGTAGACAGTGATCCGGCTGGGGTCATGACAACCAGGAAATCCACGTCAAATAGTTATGTGTTTTGGGGTCCCTGCCTGCTCACGATTTTAAGTCGCACCCAATCAATGATTGCCCGGAGCTCTGGCTCCGGAGAAGCCGAACAATACGCCAGCGTGTCTGAAGCGGCCGAAGGCCTTGCAAGCGCAGAGGATCCTCAGAACTCGGCCTCGGAGAGAACGCACGAGTGCGCGTAATTTCTGATTAATCTGCCGCGGTTGCAACAGCCTCGCGCCTGGGGCTTGGGAAACTCAAGCATGTCGACATCAAATCTATCCACGTGCAGCAGTTAGCACATGCATCCCGTGCTCGGCTGGGAAAGGTGCAGTGCACAAACAACTGCGCAGACTTAGGAACCAAGTTTTTCGAACATGCACGTCTGTCGAATTGAGTTGAGGAAGATGAGTTGTGCGTGGTGAAACGTGCGTGAAAAGTCCCAACACCACAACATACGAACGTATAACAACACGTATCCATGACATTCCGGCTCAGAAATTCAATGTTCTGTGTCCAGCTACCGAAATGCAGACAATATCAGAAGATGCGATTAGCTTTCAAACGATGTCCTTCTCGCAACGACAGCCGTGCATTCTATAGCCAGGCAGACAGGCAGGGAATGAAAGGAGGACCAGAACACTTATGCAAAGCGCTGACATACCGCTTGACGCAACACCTGACGTCAGAGAAACGCAAACTGGACCGTACTCCAGCCGAAACCCTAGCGGAGGCCGTACTGGTTCAGTACACTTCCTCACACAGCTGGCCACCGGACCGAGCGTGGAAGGCGGCGGCGGCGACGCCGCCGCCAATGCTCTCTGCATGGGGGTAAGCGGGAAGAGAAACTGACTAGCCAAAGGAGCTGCGAGCGAGCTCACTCCTGGCCCAGCCGCCGCAAAGGCGTTGTTCGTCTTCCGTTTCGCCTGCGAGGAAGTCTCCAGCACGGTCGCCGTCACGATCTGTTGAGAGGCGTTCGGAGGACGATGTCCTTCCTGAACGACGTCCTTACTGATCACCCGTTCTTGAAAAGCCTCGACAAACTTGTAGGCGTCCTCAGCGCCGTGAGCAAACGCATCGAGGACGCTACTGTACTGCGCGAGAAATGATTCCAGTGAGAGTTGTAGGGGTATCATGTGTATCCAAGACAGCACTTGTGTGTATACTCATATAGCAGATGTCACCGTTGATCTTCAGAGAGAATGAACTCAAGCACTTGTCTCGATCTCTCGTCTCGCTCGCCTCGAGCGCTTTGTCCGCGGCAGGCTGGGGTCAATCAGATCCCAGGGGGAAACAAAAAACATACTTGCTGTCGAACACCTCCTCCTCCTCCTCCTCCGTCGTCCTCGCCGCCCCTAGCTCGCCCGGCCGGGCGGGCGGTCGCCGCTGGCGCGGGAACGGCATCAGCGCTGGCATGCCAGGTCGGGCCGCCGCCTGGCGGGGGGCCCGCGGAAGGGCGGGGGAGAGAGGAGGCGGGGCGGAGGCGATCCTCCTCCTCCTCCTCCTCCTCCTCCTCCTCCTCCCTCCATCTTTCTCCTCCTGCCCTCTCCCTCCCTCGTTTCTCCTCCAGTCCTCCTCCTCCCTCGTTTCTCCTCCTGCCCTCCCCCTCCCTCCTTGCTCCTCCTCCCTCCTCCTCCTGGCTGCCTCAAGCAGTTTCGGCACGAGCGATGATGCGTCCGTCCGGCCGTCCGGGAGCCCAAAACCTCCTAATGGGTGCTTGGGGGGGCATGAGGCCACCTTCGCCATTCTAGCAAGGCGTTCCCTGCGGCGCACCTGGGCACTTTCTTCTCCGGCTACGGGGCCGTGCCTGCAGGCACCACCGGCTTCAGGGCGCGGCACGCATGCAAAGCTCGCCGTCGGCACGGACGGAACGACGAGCCGGCGAGGCAGGACTGCCGTTGCAGCGGATGCAGTCGCGAGGGCAACCTTCACAACCCCAGGCTGTGGCGAGGGCAAGAGCGAGCAGGGGAACGGCGACGAGCTCCTCCAGGCCCTGCCGCCGACCAGGGCCGCGCAAAAACAGGTGCTGCCCCAGGGGGCGCAAAGGGACATGCTGATACCATATGTCCTCCTTGGAGGCGCGCGTCCGACCCAATATAGAGTATACCCATCTTGTAGTATATCGTTTCCCGAGCGGTGTGGCCACAAACCGCCCGCCACAGCGCACATACTACAAGATCTCTCGGTGCGCGCGTCGCTCTTGGGGAAGCGAAGCGCATATACAGTGCGGGCGCGGCCGCAAAACACCCTCGCAAGAAACCCAACCCTGAGAACACGCGCGCGAGGTGCACCTGAGGGGAAACCCGGAGCACCCTGAACGCAGCCGTTCCTTCCCCGGCTGCGGGACGCCACCGCGCAGCGCGCGGAGCGAAGAAACCCAGGATACCCTGACGAAAAGCAAATGGTTTCGTGGTACCCAGAAACCCAGGATACCCAGAAACCCAGGATACCCAGAAACCCAGGCAGGCCACCGCCGTGGTGCAGGCTCCCCCTCCCGCGGGCCACGCGGGCGGCCGCCCTGCAGCAGCCGGCGGCAGGCGGCCCGCGGCAGCCCGGGCGCGCCTCCCCCGCGGCGGCGGTGCGGCGGGCGGGGGGGAGCGCGGCGCGAGCGCCCAGCACGACCAGCTCGAGCGGGCAGCGCCGCTCGGCGGCGACGATAAAGGGCGAATAGCCCAGGGGCGGGAATTACACGCATTCGCCAGGGAGCCTTGTCGAGGACAGAAACCACCGGCGCCCCTGGATACCTGTATTGCCCCCCCCTGGGCTATTCGCCCCTATCGTCGCCTCCAAAAGCGCAGCGTGAGCGGGAGACCGTCCGCCTGCTCGCCGCGGCCAAGCTGGGCAGGCGGATGGCAGCCAGGGCTCTGGCGTCGTAGGTCGGTCTGGATTTCTCGGTGCAGCAGCGGGAGCCGCCTGCGAAGTCCGAGGACACAGACGGACAGCAAGCTGTTCAACATTTCGTGGGACACAGATTGTTCCAGCAATTTGCTGCGGGCGAATTCGCATGTGATGAAAAACCGGAGAGAGTAGAATTCAAGGGCCTCGAGGCGGAGTCTGAACACACAGGGCCTCCTCGAGACGCGCAGCGGTCACAGGTCAGACGGAGGGCCAAACAACTTGAGAGACAGACCAACATCCGCGAGCGCATGAGGAACGACCACATCGACAGTAGCAACAGTACGACTGGTAAACTAATAAAATAACAAATCAGAATTGTACGAATGATAGCCATAACAACAAAACATACGAATACTGAGGCGACTCAAAACATGATGAGCAATGAAATAATTACTCACTGCGTGGGGCTCCCCATATGTGCATATCATGTTTACGTCATGCCATAATAAGCGTCTCTGCATGAGCGCTTGACTGTAATAGCGCGTCCACATGGGCGACATGGCCGACGAAGACGAATGAATCCGAATGCGAGTGAGTATGAGTCAGAGTGGGCTTTGAGTAAGATTGGATACGAGCCTCCCATTCACTCCCCCTCCTCAGCTGCCAGGCCGTGCCCTCCTCAGCCTGTGGTACTGTGCATATGTTTTAGGACAGTTGGCAATGGGATCTGTAAAACGAGCGTTTAGCCACACACGGCCATGTGTGCATATCATGATGCAGGATAGTGCCACGGCGGGCATTTGTCCACGATAGTTGTCTGCTCCACGAGTGCGCCCATGTGAGCGGCGAGCACGCGCGCGCGCAGCGCGGCTGCGCACCCACCACGCGCACGCATTCATTAACATGCATACACCCGCGCATCTTTTCTTCCAAGTAAAGAATTCCTTCGGCGCCGCGCCCGAAGCACCAGGGCGGCACGAATGACAAGTGCTTCAAACGGCACCTCGCGACCTGCACCTCAGCTTTATCCGCCTGCACTTCGCATCGGGCCTAGCTGGCAGCGCAGGCAGAAGTCGCAGGTACATGGCGTGCAAAAGGCAGGTGCTAGAAATGGCAACCTCGCGGTTTGCGCCTCGGCTCTGGCCGCCCGCGCGCGGCATCGGGCCTAGCTGGCACCAAAAAAAACCTTCTGCACTTGCCGTCGGGGCGAAGGGCCAGGGGCGCGACGCGAATCGCAACGTCTGTGACCTCATATCTGCCAGCTGTGCCATGTCGGACTCTTGGTCGGCCCCCTCCGCGATGCCCCGCGCGTCGCCCAGCGCCCCGCTGACGCCGTCGCCTTCGTCCGCAGCCGCGCTGGAATAAGAGCCGTGCCCTTCCAGCGCTTGGATTTGGTTTTCGATCGCGTCGTAAACGGCGCCGTCATCCAGCAATTGAAATGCGGCCGCCTCTGTCTCCGTTGGCGACAGGCCCAGCTCCGCCGCTGCGAAGGTGCCCAGATCTGCGCAACTTGCCCCGACAATCGAATCTCCGCCCGCGGCAGCCAGCCGGATGGCTGTCGAGCGCCCGAGCAAAACGCGCGTCAGCGCTGACAGCGGCAACGCTTGCCCCCGAGGACGTCGCAGCGGTCGAGCCTTGATCTGCAGCACCTGGCGCCGTTCCCAGAGCAACTCGCAGGAAGAACCACGCCCAGCGCCCTTGGGAACCTCGTTGCCTCCCCCCCGTCCGCGGCGCGGGCGTTTCCGACCGAAGAAGCGAGGCCGCGTCCAGTGAATATAGAGATGCCGGGCCCGATGGGCGACCTCCGCTCCGAGCCAAGACTGCGTCCGCGATGATTCCTGCTGGACTGCGTTCCGACGGGGGAAAGATGGCCGATGCGTTTCAGAGGCCAAGAGTCCTCGTGGCGCCGCGTCCAGAGCGCCCGAAAGCAGCGCTGCAGGCAAGCGCTACAAATGGCACCCTTGCGGTTTGCGCCTCGGCTCTGGCCGCCCGCGCATGGATCGGGCTTCGAGGCCCGGCGCGGGCTCTCGAAATTCAGCGCCCGCGCAGACAAGCAGCCGTCTGCGCTGGGCGTCGGGCTTTGCAGTGCGAGGCAAGCGGCAGAGGGATCCGGGCAAAAATGCCACCCGAACTGGGCATCGGGCCGGAAGGAGCACGGGCCGTCGCTCTCCCTCAGGCAGCGCCACCTCGTACCCCCCGGCAAGCAGGAAGGCCCTCGCACGACCCAAAGGACCAGCACGCCTCGACTCCGTCCTCCGCGCGCCAGAGGGCACGTGCCGGAGCGCGACCCAAGGGGGCCGCGTGCCCCACCTCATTCCTCGCAGCATGATAACGAGCAAACCGCCTGAGACATCCCCGCAAAATGGCCGCGCGAACGGGCCCGCGCTCCACCCCCTGGCGGCTCTCCTCAGGGGTGATGAAACCGGCGCCCCGCCTGAGACACCCTCAAAATCTTCGCTGAAAGCAAAGGATGTTGGGCATGATAACAAGCATACAGCCTGAGACATCTTCGCAAACTGGCCGCGCACGGGCCCGCGCCCTACCCCCCGGCGGCTCCCTTTAGGGGTGCTGGAACCAGCGCCCCGCCTGAGACGCCCTCACAATCTGCTCTGCAAGCCAAGGGTGTCGGGCGTGAAAACAAGCAAACAGCCTGAGACATCCCCACGAACTGGCCGCGATCGGGCCCGTGAAACCACCGCTGGCGGCCCCCCTCAGGGGCGCTGAAACCAGCGCCCCGCCTGAAACATCGTCACAATCTGTCTGCTCTGACACCTAAGAATGTTGGGCATGACAACGAACATTCCGCTTGAGACATCCCCACAAACTGGCTGCGAACGGGCCCGTGGAAACACCCCTGGCGGCTCCCCTTGCGGGTGCTGAAACCAGCGCCCCGCCTGCGACATCCTCATATTACTCACTGCGTGGGGCTCTCCATATATCTCATGTCACTATGTCATGCCATAGTGAGCGTCTGTTCATGAGCGCTTGACTATAATTGCGCGTCCACACGGGGGACAGGGCCAACGAAGACGAGTGAATCGTAATTCGAATGAGCGCGTATGAGTCAGAGTGAGCTGTGAAATTGATTGAATATGGGCCTCCTATTCATCCCCCCTCCTCTGCGGCGAGGCCGTGCCCTCCTCAGCCTGCGGTAATGTGCATGCGTTTGAGGCTAGTTGACAGTGGGGATCTGTAAAACGAGCGTTTAGCCACGCGCGGCCATATGTGCATATCACGATGCAGGATAGTGTCACGGCGAGCATTTGTTCCATGATGTTTGCCCCACGAGCGCGCCCATGTGAGCGGCGAGCGCACGCGCGCGCAGCGCGGCTGCACATCCACCGCGCGCACGCATTCATTAACATGCATATGCCCGCGCCTCTTTTTTTGCCAAGGCAACAAATTCCTTTGGCGCTGCGTCCGAAGCACCAGGGGAGCACGAATGACAAGTGCTTCAAACGGCACCTCGCGACCTGCACCTCAGCCTTAACCGCCCGCGCTTCGCATCGGACCTAGCTGGCAACGCAAACAGAAGTCGCAGGCACATGACGTGCAAAAGGCAAGTGCTACAAATGGCA